CCCACACACACACAAAGATAGTGAAAAATCACAAATATTTCAGAAAAAGAAAGTAGCAAATTGTTCCTGCACTAGATTTCTTTTTTTTAAAAAAATATATTTTATTGATTTTTTTACAGAGAGGAAGGGAGAGAGATAGAGAGTTAGAAACATCTATGAGAGAGAAACATCGATCAGCCGCCTCCTGCACATCTCCCACTGGGGATGTGCCCGCAAACCAGGTACATGCCCTTGACCGGAATCGAACCCGGGACCTTTCAGTCCGCAGGCCGACGCTCTATCCACTGAGCCAAACCGGTTTCGGCTAGATTTCTGAATAGTATAGGATGAAATTATATTTTCCTCCTAAAACAATCTCACATATCCTCCTGACTGCTAAAATAACCTTTGTTTGTTTGTTTGTTTATACTGAGGTTCTGTCTGAATGACTACTTCACAGAGAAAGACAATACATATAGCAGTTGGTTCCTGTAGTGCACTTTGGTGATCAAATTGTGGAATACACTGCAAATGTACTATAATATTTTAAAAAATTAGAATGGTCAAATGCAGAGTAAAATCACAATTAATGAATGAGCACAGAACATCAGACATTTTACAAAAGGAGAACAAGGACTATTAAATCTGAAAACACTTTCAAGATCTATAGCAGTGGTTCTCAACCTTCCTAATGCCGCGACCCTTTAATACAGTTCCTCATGTTGTGGTGACCCCCAATTTCATTGTTACAAATTGAACATAATTAAAGCATAGTGATTAATCACAAAAACAATATGTAATTATATATGTGTTTTCTGATGGTCTTAGGCGACCTCTGTAAAAGGGTCATTTGACCCCCAAAGGGGTCGCAACCCACAGGTTGAGAACCGCTGGTCTATAGTGATCAAAGAAATAGAAATGTGTTTTTTTAACCGAATGCTATTGAATATTGTTAAGTGCAATAATGTGTAGAAAGACCATTGGTTTTAAAATAAATCTACTTGGGGTAACTTATGTTAAAGAAAGAACTTGAAAATATCAGCACAGAGGCATTTAGGTGGTATTTCTGGTAATTTAAAATCAGAGCAACCTAAATGTCTAAAATCGGGGGAGTGTTTAGCAAAATCAGTGCGAGTATGCTTGAAAGTAATATTATGTAGCCAAAAAAATTATGAAGCTTTTATAAAAACATAGAAAACTGTTTATATCATGTTTCATGAAAGCAAGTTGAAAAAAAAGTGTCCTCTGACTATAAAGATGTAAAAATTATATGTGTACAAAAGACTAGAAAATACATATTAAATTATAAGTTACATTTATGTGATGATATTATGGGTACTCTCACAATTCTGTTTTGCAGATGTCCTGTAAGTAGTGATATTAATCTTGTAATTTAAATGATCTATTTAAAAGAGAAAAATACAGTTAAAACTGAATTTTAAGAAAATCGTTTTTGCTTCTTTGACTTTTAAATAGTCTCTATACTGCTTTTATGTAAGATGTCTATGAAAATTACAAGGAAAAATGAAGTTAAAAAATACATAAGGGCCCATTTAGAAAAGGAATTAGACTTACTCTTTA